TGTCAGAATAACCCATCTGCTTCACTAATGTTCTTCAAGGAAACAAACTGCCATCCTGACCTGGTCTGGCCAGCACTTGGCTTCCACTGGCAGGAGAGATCCAACAGAGATGGAAGCACAATGGTATACCCTCAGGAGGGAGTTGTACTGGGAATCTTAAATATTGAGTTTGGATCTCATGAAGCCACATGGCATCAGGTCAAACATGAGCAGGGAAACCTCCTGCAAATTATTATGTCCTGTACCCCCTTTCAGCCTGTGAATCTATACTCCTTCATGTTAAACAGCCATTTGAGGTAGCACTGAGAATGCAACATTGTGACACAACTCTCCACTTACACAATGTCTTCACAATTTTATCAGCAGTCACGAGCAGGAGAGACTGGTTTTAGAATTTACTTTTGTGTAATGTATTTTGAACAGTTCCGAAAGCAGAGCTCTCTCCACATTAGAGAGAAGTCCTTTGTCATTTGGTTAGCAATCTAAGAGGCACTAACCAGAAGCAAAAATGATTTGTAAAACATGTTTATGCTGGCAAGAATTAAATAAGTGAACAGATATTATCTGGCAACAGCAGCCAGGTTATCCATTCAGGTAAATTCAAAGTAGCAGTTAAGGTAGGTGTTTTTGAATTTCGGTATTTTGAAATGCCTTAAAAGATTTTCCTCTCTATTCTTTGGCAGATAAATTAGCATGGTGCAACATTCATTAGTAAACATGCAACCTTTTCTATTTGTAAGTGTTAGTACGTGTGTAATCACAAAATTCTTATGTTCCTACTTTTCATTGCAGAGAAACTCTTTGGGAGTATATAGGTGAGAGATTCTTGCCTAATGAACGTGGGTTTGGGTTTCGAAAAGATTCAATAAACAATACTGAGTTTTCCTCAATTGCAGTAAACTTTGTCTTGCGAGTTTGTGGTAATGAAATGAAAACAAATATCGTGGATAATGGAAGTTTGAGGAAAATACTAAGAAAAGCATCAGCAGGTCTGGCACCATCTGTGGAAAGAGAAACAATTCTAGTGGCATACGACTCTTGGAGTTTGTAGCATTATTTGACTTAGTAATTGTGTTCTTGTAAGTTTTAATTTGTATTTTAAATCTACTTTCAAATAATCTGAAGCAGTTGACTTATGAGGTCTGAATTTCACTTTTGAGGCGCAGGGATGTTAGCTAATGCATAACAGTTGGAGTACAATATACCACAAACCTTTTAGAGAAAGATTACAATGAAAAAGGTTGAACCATCTGCGAACTTTTGCTGGAACAGTAGTTTCCATGTCTTTTAAAAGACTTGATGAAGTCTTATAGCTGTTAGAATGAGAATACTTGTAAGGCAGAGCCAGAGTCTATGTTGTCACATCCCAGTACTTCCTGCACAACCTGCGTGTTTCTCTGGGATGCACTCTAATGCAAATGGTTTGGCCTGCCCTTTAATGGTACACAGAGCAACTAACAAGATCAATTCTTAAGGATTGGCAACTGTGTTGAAAAACAAATGATTGAGCCCTGTACATTGTCAGTTTACCGTGAACTTCAGAATGGGCATTTGTAACTTAATTAAAGACGGGCATCTGTTTGCTGGTTAAAACTCCCAAGAGTAAAATTATCTGTACTCTGAGATCACTATCTCTTATCCTTAGGATCTCCCTTTTTTCCCCTGTATATTTTCAAAAGTCATGAAGGGGATAAAAAACGTTTAGAGTATAAATAGTGACATTGGTTTAATGTCGTGGCTTTTGTATTCAGTGTAAAATCCTAGTTCGGGCTCAGCTGGAGCAGTGTGTCCAATTCTGGGCGCCACATTTTAGGTAGGACATGAAGACTTTGGAAGGAGTAGAGAAGAGATTTACTAAAATGTTTTCAGAGTTGAAGAATTATAGTTATGTGGATAAATTGAGAGAAGACTGCAAGGAGATTTGAGAAGGATGTTTAAAATCAAGAGAAGTTTAGATAAAGTAAACAAAGGGAAATTATTTCTGGAGGAAAAATGAATAGCTGAAGGCTGCAGATTGGCTGAAGGCCAAAGGTGACATCAGGAAAACCTTTTCATGCAATAAGTGGAGAGGATTTGGAATACTGTGCCAAATAGAGTAGCATGTACAGATTTAAAAGTGGTTTCAAAAGCATATTGTATAAGTATTTGGAAAAGAAAGAGTTGCAGGTCTATGGGGCTAACTGGATGGTTTTCTTCAAAGAGTTGACACAGACTCGATGATCTGCGTTATTATAGAGTCACAGAGTCAGACAGGTACAGAAACAGATCCTTCAGTTTATTTGTCCTCAACCACCACATATCCCAATTTGACGTATTTCCATCTGCCAGCATTGGCCCAAGTCCCCCTAAACCCTTACTATTCATATACCCATCCAGATGCCTTTTAAATGTTCTAATTGTACCTAGCTCCACCACTTCCTCTGGAAGCTCGTTCCATAAATGCACCATCCTCTGAATGAAAAAGTTACCCTTCAGGTCTTTTTTAATCTTCTCCCTCTCACCTTAAACCCATGCTGTTTAGTTTTGGACTCCTGCACTCTAGGAAAAAGACCTTGGCTATTCATCCTAATCATGAGAAGCATGGATTTATAAACCTCTATAAGGTTACTCCTCAGCCTCCGACATTGCAGAGGAAAAAAGCCCCAGCCTTTTCAGTCTCTCACTATAACTCAAACTCTCTAGTCGCGTCCATATCCTTGTAAATCTGTTCTGCATCCTCATGTTTAACAACATCCTGGCCCACAGAAGGGGGACCAGAATTGAACATGCGTTATTCTAAAAGTAGCCTCACCAGTGTCCTGTTCAGCCGCAACGTGACACTCCAACTCCTATATTCAATGAAGACAAGTGTGCCAAATGCCTTCTTCACCACCCTGTCTATCTGCGCCTCCACTTTCTAGGATCTGTGCATTTGCAACCCTAGGTCTCTTTGTTTGGCAACACTCCCCAGTGCCCCACCATTAACTATTAAAGTCCTGTCCTGGTTTGCCTTACCAAAATGCAACATATCCCATTTAACAAAATTAAACTCTCTCTGCCAGTCCTCAGCCCATTGGCTCATCTGACCAAGATCCTTTTGTGCTCGGTGATAATCTTCTTCATTAGCCACTACATCACCTATTTTGATGTCATCTGCAAACTTACTAATCATATCTCCTATATTCACATCCAAACCATTTATAGAAATGATGAAAAATACATGATTTAGAACTCTATTGTGACATAAGATTGTAATTTATTTAAATGTATATGGTTTTTTTAATTGTACGTGAGATGTGAATGTCAAGTCCAGCTCTAAATGTCCTGGTGAATGTGGGATAAACTTTGTTGAACCTTTGTAGTCCATGGGGTGTAGGGACACCTACAATGTTATTAGCTTGGCAATTCCAGGATTTTGACCCCTTGATAGTGAAGGAATGGTGATATACTTCCAAATCAGGATGGCGTGTGGCTTGGAGGGAAATTTGCAGGTGGTAATGTTGCCATGTATCTGCTGCCCTTGACCTACCAGGTGGTAAAGGTTGGAGATTTGGAAAGTGCTGTTGAAGGTGACTGGCTTGTGCGTTTGCTCCCTCAATTTTTGCACCCCCCCACCCCTTAGATATTAGTAAGAAGGAACAGGCAAGCTTGGCAGTTCTGAGTTTGCTGTTGTTATTTCCAGTCTCTAAGTAGTCCATCTGGTTTTATTCCTTTTTGTAAACTTTATAATGGGTTTTGATATAGCTGAGTGGTGTGCCAGACTATTTCAAAGAGTAGTTAAGAGCCAACCATATTGCTATGTGTCTGTAGTGACATGTAGGCCAGACCAGTAAAGATGACACATTTCCTCAAAGGGCATTTGTGAACAAGATGAATATTTTATTAAATTCAAATGTCACCTACGGTTGGTTTCAAATCCATGTCCCCACGACATAAACCTCAAGCTCTGGATTACTGATGCACCTGTTTTATTTTGGAATTTTTTTGCATTTCAAAGAAAAATGTACCTCTAGATATGGTGCATTATTATTTAAATATTATTGTCATTTTGAGTGCTATGGAAGCCTCTTGTCAAATGTATTGTTTCAACAACCTGCATAATTATATCATGTGGTACTTAGCTGGAGGGAAAGTAACATTTCAAGATTGCTTTCTGCCAAATGGTTTAAAGATGAACTTGCTAGGCTTTCTGGAGCCATGATTTCTTGTCAAAAAAGTATGAGAGAGTTAGTTCCTGGTGTGCTAATAGGAATTTCTTTACATTTTGAGAGAGTTTTTACAAACACAGAGAAAACCGTTAAGTGCATTTAGTTTCCAGTTCGAAGGATTTGGAGTTTGTTTTTGACTTTAAGGTGCCACCGATAGCTTGGAAAGCCTTCTGGTTTTGGTTTGCAGATGTCCTAGAGAAAGTCAGATATGTAAAACAGCTTCCCCTGAAGGAAGGAGACATTTTTGAACTGTTAACAAATAGGTTACCTCAGTGCAAGGAGATTAGTTTGAAAGTTCCAGACCAGAAGTCACTTGTTAAAACCCTGAAGGGGTTATTTGAAGCTGCAAATGTCTAAGTTCACTCATGTGAATATTCGATGCCATCAAACGTTCAAGACCGCGAAACAAAAGGCGCAGTTAAGTAAATGCTATAGTGCTGATGGAGAAGGGAATTTCCCCCGGTGTTTGAGTACTGTGAAGGGGTGCAGTTGGGATACATGGTATATCGTATTTTACCATGTTTTTTTAAATCTTTCAAATCATGTTAGATGGAAATAGCTTGGCCTGTTCTATTTCCTATTCCTTTCTCTTACGTAATGAACTTCTGTTTATTTGTTAAAACCAAGTCTGTAGCATTGGATGCTTATGTTTCAATGAAATAAAACCTCACTAAATAAACAAAACAAGCCAGATTTCATTCTGGGATCTGACTTGTTGAGAAATCATATCAACTGGGATTATTACAAACTATATACATTTTTAAAGTGAATGGTTTGAGTTTTTAACCACATTTTCTCCCTTTCTGCCTACAGACTAAAACTCAACGAGATGAGAAAAATCCCAACGAAAATGCTAACATGGTACAGGATGAAATATTTTCGTGGCCTGGTCCAAAGACTCTGCTGCTACAGAAGAACTCTCAAGGTTTTGGATTTACACTGAGGCACTTCATTGTCTACCCTCCAGAATCAACTTTGCATCCGAGCTTTAAGGTAGCAGTGACATTTATTGTATGTAATATTAAAATATGTTTCACCCATTTGACCGAACATACCCACAATAGGGTAGCATTCACGGGCAGCATAGTGGCTCAGTGGCTAACATTGCTGCCTAACAACAGCAAGGACCCAGTTTCGATTCCAGTCTTGGGCGACTGTCTGTGTGGAGTTTGCACATTCTCCCCACGTCTGCATGGGTTTTCTCCGTATATTCTGGTTTCTACCTGCAGTGTAAAGAAATGCAGACTAGGTGGATTAGCCATGGGAAATGCAGGTTTACAGGGATAAGGGAGCAGGGTGGCTCTGGGTGGGATGCTGTTTGGAGGGTTGGTGTGGACTTGATGGGTAGAATGTCCTGCTTCCACACTGTAAAAATTGTAGGATTCATGTAGACTGTAGCAGGGAATTGTTAACAGAGCCAATGAGGTAGTCATCTCTTCATCTTAGAGGTCTAGGTTGGTTTCCCGATTAAAACATGCAAACATGTGAATCTGGAATAAGTGTGTGCCACCCTGCCCCCTAGAACCAGCTCTTTCCTTCAGTAAAACTATGCATGACCTGGTGACTCCATATTCCTGCCTAACAATGCTAAACCTTCATTCCTTTCCTAATTCAAGAATTTATCTGCTTCTGCAATAAAAAAGATTAAAAGATTCTGCTTCCACTGTCTTTTGAAGAAGAAAATTCTGAAGTCTGTATGAAAACACTTCTCATCTCTATCTTAAACGGATGAACCTTTATTTTTAAACAGTGACACCCAATTCTAGACTCTTCTCCCAAGAGGAAACATTCTTTCTGTATGCATTCTGATAAATGTGTACTGTAGCCAACTGATGTGTAATCTGGACTAAAAGTCAAGAATTTCTACATAAAATATTAAAACGGTCATGAATCCAGTGGATGTAGCTAGAATTTTGTCTTTTGATTTATTAGTTGTTCGATAGAATAGGCTGTAGCTAAATATGCTGTATATTTCTGTTGCAAAGACTGTAATTTCATTTGATCAAGTAAGCAATAAAAATTCTTAGTAAATATCAGAAAAAATACATGGGTTTAAATCTTACCAGAAATCAGCTAAGTGTCATTTCTTGCGAGTTTAATGGAGGGGTTCCATCCATGGGTGGTCCTAGCAAATTTTCTCATGCTAGCTACCTGAACTTGCCTCATTGCCTATGCACCATGCCTCATACATGACTCTGCTTGTCATTTTATCCTACTCATTGCAGGTGAAAATATTGACCACTGCTGTGACCTCCCTGGAATCAGCTACTGGTGCCAGGTTTAAAGCTGTGCACATGGTCAAACACTGGCAGTTTGCAGCTGTCCTATATGGTTCCTACCAATTGCCCCAGACATTTCAGGCAGAAGCAAATTAGCACCCTACGTTGCTGATGGGAACCAGGAAGCCCTGATGGATTTGTGGTGTGCACGGTGGCTGTCCATGGAGTGTGCTGTAATTTGTTGGTGACTGATCGAGGGCTGAAGGAACAAGTGGTGAGCTGGAGTTATCAGATTACAACTGACTTTCATGTCAGCAATTGGCACTGTCTGGTTTCTATGAAGTAGATGGGAAAATGAGAAATTGCATATTACTGAGGCAAGATGAAATCATAATGAGGATGTTAATACATGCTAATATGCGCAGATAGGCTTCTTGCTTTCACTAGTGAAAATCTTGTCCCATTATCTAACCCTTGGTAGGCAAATAGGACGTTTTGCTATCATTATGTGATACTTCCGACTTTCTTATATTACTGATGTTGTTGTAAAGGGCTGCAAGAATTCTACCTGTGATGTTGTACCTCATTTGTACATCTATTAAGCCATCTTAATTATAAACCCTGCGATCTTCGTGTTGACCTAAAATGAAGAAATGCAATAAACAAACCAACCACTTCTAGCTCTGTGATTTGCTCCCTTACCTTTTTCAGCAATCTAAGATGCATCCCATCCTGGCCTGGCGACTTCACCACTTGGAGTGCTGCCAGCCTTTTCAGGACCTCTTCTTCAGCTATCATTTTATACTAGTCAACTGTTTGACACCCACATTTTCAACTGGGCAGTTGCCACCAGCTTCTAATTTGGTAAAGACAGAAGCAAAGTGTTAATTTATTATCTCTGCCATACTCTTTGCTTCAGTGAGCAGTTTACCTTTTTTTACCCTGCTTGTTTTAACACCATCTGCCATTCTTTCCTCTTAGCTTTCTCTTAGCTTTAATGTCTTAATGAAGATTTGTAGCTCAGGTTGTGGTGGAGTTGTTGGTTGGTTCGCCGAGCTGAATGGTTTTTGTGCAAACGTTTCGTCTCCCTTCTAGGTGACACATCAGTGCTGTGTAGACTCGATTGAAGCGCTGTGTTCCTGTCACACTCTGAATTTATGTGGTCCAGTCTGTCATGGTGGGCAGTCTCGTTTCTGGTTTTGTACCGTAATGGTATGTAGATGGCGTATGTTTCAACATTTTTTTTTATTGCATCGGTGGACAAGCACAAGAATTCCTGGAGTCCTGGTTTTCAACCACCAATGCAATTAACAAACATGTTGAAACAGACCCCATCTATATACCACTATGGTACAAAACCAGAAACAATACTGCCCACCATGACAGAGTGGAACATATAAATTCAGAGTGTGACAGAAACACAGTGCTTCAGTAGAGGCTACACAGCTATGACAACGTCACCTAGAAGGGAGACAGGACGTTTGCATGCAAACCAGTCAGCTTGGCGAACCAACCAACAACTCTTAGCCTTCCTTATTCAACCTTAGCCTCTCTCCTGCATTTGACAAACTCTTCTGCATTTTCACAGTGCTCAGCAGAAGTATATTCCAGTGATAAGGAAGAACTGTAGGAAAAGAGAGAGCCAGCCATGGATGTCTAAGGAAATAAAGGAAAGTATCAGATTGAAAAAAAAACACATACAAAACAGCAAAGAGTAGTGGGAAACTAGTAGACTGGGAAATCTTTAAAGGCCAACAGAAAGCCACAAAAACAGTTATAAAGAAAGGTAAGATAGATTATGAGAGTAAACTAGCTCAGAATATAAAAACAGGCAGCAAAAGTTTCTATAAATATGTAAATCGTAAAAGAGTGGCGAAGGTAAACATTGGTCCTTTAGAGGATGAGAAGGCCAATTTAATAACTGGGAATGAGGAAATAGCCGAGACATTAAACAGTTATTTCGTGTCGGTCTTCACAGCGGAAGACACAAATAACATGCCAAAAACTAATGGCAAGAAGGTTATAGCAGGTGAGGACCTAGAAACTATCATTATCACTAATGAGGCAGTACTGGGCAAGCTAATGGGGCTAAAGGTAGACAAGTCTTCTGGCCCTGATGAAATGCATCCCATGGTACTAAAAGAGGTGATGGGGGAAATAGCAAATGCGTTAGTAATTATTTACCAATATTCACTAGACTCTAGGGTGGTTCCCGCAGATTGGAAAACAGCCAATGTGACGCCACTGTTTAAAAAAGGAAGTAGACAAAAAGCAGGTAACAATAGGCCAGTTAGCTTAACTTCGGTAGTGGGGAAAATGCTTGAATCTATCATTAAGGAAGAAATAGCAAGACATCTGGATATAAATTGTCCCATTGGGAACACCCAGCATGGGTCCATGAAGGGTAGGTCATGTTTAACTAATTTGGTGGAATTCTTTAAGGACATTACTTGCACGGTGGACAATGGGGAACCTGTGGATGTGGTGTATCTGGATTTCCAGAAGGCATTTGACAAGGTGCCACACCAAAGGCTGCTACATAAGATAAAGTTGCACGGTATCACAGGTAATGTATTGGCATGGATAGAGGATTGGTTGACCAGTAGAAAGCAAAGAGTAGGGGTAAATGGATGTTTTTCTGGTTGGTGGTCAGTGGCTAGTGGTATGCCTCAGGGATCAGTGTTGGGACCGCAATTGTTTACAATTTACATAGATGATTTGGAGTTGGGGACTAAGTGTGGTGCGTCAAAATTTGCAGATGACGCTAAGGTGAGTGGTAGAGCAAAGTGTGCAGAAGACACTGAAGGTCTGCAGAGGGATATAGATAGTCTAAGTGAGTGGGCAAAGATCTGGCAGATGGAGTACAATGTTGATAAGTGTGAGGTCATCCATTTTGGTAGGAATAACAGCAAAATGGACTATATTTTAAACGGTAAAAAATTGCAGCACGCTGCTGTGCAGATGGACTTGAGTGTCCTTGTGCATGAATCGCTAAAAGTAGGATTGCAGGTGCAGCAGGTAATTAAAAAGGCAAATGGAATTTTGTCTGCGATTGCTAGAGGGATGGAGTTTAAAAACAGGGAGGCTATGCTGCAGCTGTATAGGGTCCTGGTGAGGCCACACCTGGAGTACTGTGTGCAGTTTTGGTCTCCTTACTTGAGAAGGGATATACTCGCACTGGAGGGGGTGCAGAGGAGATTCACTTGGTTGATTCCAGAGTTGAGAGGGTTGGATTATGAGGAGAGACTGAGTAGACTGGGATTATGCTCATTGGAATTCAGAAGAATGAGGGGAGATCTTATAGAAACATATAAGATTATGAAGGGAAAAGATAAAGTGGAGGCAGGGAGGTTGTTTCCGCTAGCAGGTGAAACTAGGACTAGAGGGCATCGCCTCAAAATAAAGGGAAGCAGATGTAGGACTGAGGTCAGGAGGAACTTCTTCACCCAAAGGATTGTGAATCTGTGGAATTCCCTGCCCAGTGAAGCGGTTGAAGCTACCTCGCTGAATGTTTTTAAGGCAAGGCTAGATAAATTTTTGAACAGTAAAGGAATTAAGGGTTATGGTGAGTGGGCGGGTAAGTGGAGCTGAGTCTCAAAAAGATCAGTCATGATCTTATTAAATGGCGGGGCAGGTTCGAGGGGCCAGATGGCCTACTCCTGCTCCTGGTTCTTATGTCCTTATGTCCTTATTTCTGCTACTAATGTTATTCTGGTATGCATCATATCCCTTCTGTGTCTTCTGTATTTTTTCATCAATGCACTTAGTCATCCT